TGAGAAATCTGAGGCTGGCAGTGAGTCACAGGAGTTGGCCAACAGCTTCCGTCAGACAGGAGTGCTAGGATTTTCCTGTCCTTTCATTTCTGGTCTTAAAGCAGTTGCTGTAACTGTGGTATCACGTACAACTTGAAGCCAAGAATGGGAAGTGGAATATCTTTTTGTTATACCAGAAAAGCAAAAAGTTTTCCTCAGCACCCTCAAGGCCTCCATTTAGATTTTAGAGTCCTGGGTTGGTTCATGTGGCTACTCCAGGATTCAAAGACTAAGAAGTTTTCTGGTTTTCCAGCTTCTATCATGGAAGATAGAAGGAAGGAAAAATTGGTAACAGACATTGGTTCATGACCTAGACTACCATATTGGTATTTAAATTAGTACTAAGAACCTTCTTTAAAGCAGAGATACCAGCAACAAATTCAGTTATTTATATAATTTCTTAAAAGTTAATGAAGCATTATTTTCTTATTGTATGTCTGAGTAGCTTGATTTTAGTTGTAAGTCCACTTGGAAATATAAGAGAAAAATTGCATCTTTCAATATAGGAATGTCACCTCTGTTAATCCTGAGTATTTTCTTAGCAGTTTATATTTTGATGTAAAAAATGTGTCTAACAAAGGCTAAGAAAGCATTCCTGTGTAAGATGTGAAGCAAACATTTCCTACCTTGTTTGTTGTTATCTCTTTCCCCCAGTCCGACCAGTAATAACCAACAGTGGCAGCCACCCTACAGAAGTTGTTGTTGCTCGAGGGAAGACTGTGTCCTTAGAGTGTGAGGTGCAAGGTGTTCCTCAGCCAACAGTGACCTGGCTGAAAGATGGCCGCCCCTTAACCAAGGGAAAAGGAGTTGAAGTGTTGGATGACGGCCGTGTCCTTCAGCTGAAGAATATTCATGTATCTGACACAGGCCGTTATGTGTGTGTTGCTGTGAATGTAGCAGGAATGACTGACAAAAAATTTGACTTAAGTGTACATGGTAAGTAGATGGCGATTCAATAGGTCTCTTCACTGGTTGACTTAATTTATCACCCTGACTGGGAAATACAGAGTTTGAGTATCGAAAGTCTTATATTTATAGCCCCTTTTTTTTCTACAAAGGTGCCACTTTCCTAAAATAAAGAAAAGATACTTTCTTAGAGTCAAATCATAGAAAAATGAAAGCACTTGTCCTTTTATGCCTGATTTCCTGTTATTATTTTCAAAGTGCATGTTGGGTATTCTTTTAGGAAAGCACATTGTAAAGAAGAAATTCATTTTCTTCAAGCACTTTTGGTTCCATGCTGACCCAACTAAATCTCTTAATTATATGTTTTCCAAATTAGCTGTCTTAACTAAGGAAAGTATAAACATAGCTTCTTTAGGACTTGCTTAATCAGCATCATTTGGACACAAGTTCTATGGAAGTCAGCTTTAAGTTTTTAATTAATGAGCTATAAACGTTAATGGGAACAGACCCAACACACACATACTCCAGAAGAACTATTTGGATGAATACAGCTTCAGGTATCATTTTTAAATCTGGAGAAACAGTGGTAAGTTTAATAGACACAAATTAACTTGAATCTGGTTAAGACATGCACAAGGTATTAATACCTTGTCCTCTACCATTAATGTGTGTGTACATCAATGCTAAAGGGGTCAGAATGTAAAAGAGAAAATGAACTAATCATAAGTACAATTTTTGTTAGATAACTTTTAATTATTAGGATCAGAATTATCTTCTAGAAAATCCTGAAAGTCGTGAATCCATGTGATAAATTTACCAGAAAAGAGCCATAGAAAATATGGGTTTTTCTATGATCCATAGAAAATAATTTTCAGCTGTTGAAATAACACCGTAAAGGATATATATATATATATATATATATATATATATATATATATAGCCTACCTTTTCTATCTTTTTTTTGTTTGCTTTATAGTGCCCCCAAGCATCATAGGACACCATGGGATACCAGAAAACGTCAGTGTTGTGGAAAAGAGCTCAGTGTCCCTGACTTGTGAAGCTTCGGGAATCCCTCTGCCTTCAATTACCTGGCTTAAAGATGGTTGGCCTGTGAGCCTTAGCAGTACTGTAAGGATTCTTGCAGGTATTAGAAATTCTAATAGCCTGATAGTTTGATTAGTTTCCTAAGGCCCCAATTGTTCCTTAAGTTTTCATTTTTAGTGTTTCTATTTTTAAACCTAATACTATGATATCCACCTATCATATTGAGAAAAATATTGAAAAAGGCATAGGATGCCATTTGAATAATCAAGAAAATCTCTAAATATTTCTATTTATAAAAATGTCCTTTTTATGACAAATTAAGCCATAGGGCTGTCAAATCTTTCAGAAACCAATCTGAAGAGTGAAAACTTAAATGTTGAAATTTAAATCCACTATAGTGACTCATTTTACATATTATACCATCTAACGCAAGTATTGAATGATGTTTCTCTTTGGAGTATGGGGAAGGTCCCTGTTACCAAAGACTTTGTCATTATTTCAGTTTATTCTTCAGATAATTATGTAGGAAAACACAAAGTGCTTATCCTCTGTGGATCAATCTAAACCTTAAGAGATTTAGCTTTTTTTTTTTTTTTTTGTAACAGCTTACATACAGACTAAGAGGATAATCTTGACGGCTTTGTGGTTAATAAAAGACTCAGACCCTTAGAAAAAAATCCTAGCATGTTGAACAAGTTGTTCAAATTCAAACAAGCCACCTCACTGCAGAAACTTTGAGTGTAACTTAACAGATCAAAGGTTAAATAGTCCCCTGTGCTTACATCCAAATCATAGGTAAAAGTTATGGCAAGAAATAGCTTCAGAATTCCGAATATGAAGAGAGGTCTAAATTATGTTAGTTGCTCCTTATTCATAGTGTTATGTGGCTATCAAAAAGCATTTTATCAAGTAATAAATTATGCTTGCCTAATACGTCAGCAGACACTATACTTTAGAGAAGTTTTTTTTCTTTACTTTTTTTTTTTTTTTTTGCAGTAGCAAGAATTAAACTCATGATCTTATGCTTGGCAAGCAGGAGCTTATGCCACTGAGCTATCTCTCTGGCCCATGAGCTATTTCTCTGACCCTATACTCTAGACTTAGCTGTCCTTATTAGAAAAAGAAAAGGAGGATTTACTCATAATATTTTCAAGGGATCATAACTATAACAATAACTGATTATAAAATAATTTATATGATCCATTGTATTAAGCTTTGTGGTGTATTTGATACTTAATTAAAATTAAATATTTGAACATCCATAGTATAGAAGGGATTATTGTGAGTTTGTGTAGTTCAGAGGTTAAGAGTAATGTGAGTGTATAGAAGATCTTAGGGGCATATATAGATCTGACTGCAAAAATCGTTAAAATATCACTTAGTCCTTGCCTTAACTCTGTTCAAACAAATGTCAAGTCACACTATTTAAGGCTTTCTTAGAAAATATTTTTCCTAGGGTTAGAATTAGATCTATATAAACTAGATGCCTTTCTTCCTGACCTTAGTCTAGTACTGATAGGCATTTATGAAGAATATACATTGTTATTAACCATATTTATTTATTTTTTGTATTTTTATGGAAGGGTCTACAGAGTCTTCAGGGTCTCACTACTAGATCGGATTCATAGTGATCCACCTGTTTACAGCCTCCCAAGAGCTGGGATTATAGGCACACACCACCACACTCAGTCTCAATTGCCTTCTCAGCTTACCCCAGGGGCAGGGCTGGCAGGGCAAGCCCAGGGATCAAATCCTGGCCCCTGTGCCTGCTTGCAGGCACTTTAATATGTTGAGCTATTTGGCCAGCCCCAATCATATTTATTTCTGATAATTTTTATTGTATTTATGATTTCAACCAAGTTGTTTAACCTTTTAACTTTGATATGAAATTCATCATTTGTAAAATGAATATATTAATAGTATTTGCCTCTTAGAGTTTTTAATAAGGATCAAGCACTTAAAATAGTGCCTGTGTCTATGTTAAGCATCTAATATCTGTTTGCTATTATTGCCAAAAGCAACATGATAATAGATTTGTAGCCTCTGAAATTTTTCTATGCTCTTACTATGAAGTTTTAATTTTCATGTGAATCCCAGGCTCTGCCAACCTTAGGAAATGCATAGTCACTGCAAAGATTTTGCTAAAAATTTGTTACCAAAATCTTGAGCACATTATTTTCTTGAAATCATCCTCATATTTTTTTTTCTTTTTTTAGTTGCTGACAGAATAGAAACATAGTAGATGTGTTTCTGGAGCTTCTAGAAATAAAACTGGCACAATAGAACGATGTACTCTGCCCTCTATAACTGCACAGGAGTGGTGTTTTGGTTGTGTGTGGCTCTGTTGTGCCTGACTAGCAGCTGGAGATAGGCTCCGCCTTGAGGTGCTGCCAAAGGAGCCATTCACATTCGTAGTACGAATGCTTGTCTTGTGCAATAGATCAACGAGAACTAGATGAGTGACACATGCTTTGCTCCGCGCTGGGCTGCTGCAGACTCCTGTTTCATTAAATTCCTTCTCCCAGGACTGTGAATTGGCCTTTCTGAAAGCAGTGCTTTGGTCAAGGCTTTCTCATTACTATAAAGTTGTCTGCCAAGAACAGATAACTGCTATAAAAGTTTAATAGGTACAAGAAACGTCTTTATAAAAATATACTTTACTGTCAGATCCTTTTTTGTTTTCACTGGATTAAGAGAGAGCGTCAAGAAACAAAGGAAGGAAACGTCATTAGAGTAAGGTTGAGATTTATAGGGGCGGTAATGACTCATAAAAAGGGTACTGGTTTAGTATCTCAACTGAAATCATCATATGGTTCTACTAATCTGAGTACATAAATCCTTTCTTAATTAGCAAAGTAATTTTTGTAAAAACTTGTTTAATAATCTATATTTATTTACTCAAATTCAGCTGGAAATAAAAACAATGAGTTCAAATAATTGGCATTGTCCAAATAAAATACTATTAAGTTCACCTTTCTGTGGGTTGAGGATGGGAAAATTGCTTAATAAAAAACCTCAACTTGCTGTATTTATGTCAACCTAAAACACAGATGGAACCTTCTGAGCCAGACCCAGGCAATTATTTACATGAAAGTTTTGTGTTTAGCCATTATGATTTTTTTGGTTTAAATATGCAGTGCTAAGCAAAAACGTACCAGATTTTTTAAAAAAATAGTAAGAAATGTAAGAACTCACTTTTTGCTGTTTAGACTTTTCTTCCCAAATAGTTTACAGGAATCTACTTTCACAGTGCAGCTTTTATTTCTCTCATTTGAGCTTTGTTTCATCTCATTTCTTATCTCCTGTACCTTTGTCATTAAATGGACTTTCACTCTCATTCTACCTTCACTGCTTGCTTGAAATGTGTATCTTCGAATACAAGGTTACTTAGAAGTTCACAATATGGAAATAAAAATACCCTCAAGTAGTGTATGAGATGATCCCGTAAACTTTGATATGTATGCTCCTAAGATTTCCATGAAATGCAGTTGAAAACTGTTGGTCTGTATTAATGGTTGACCTATCTGTGATATATTGCTGTCAATCCAATCTGCGCTACTGATCTAATCCTCTTCTGACATTCTCATTTTGTGTGTTCAATGGGAAACTGGACACTCCTAAACCTCCTGTTGTCTTTTTCCTTTAAAAGAAAAAGTCACGTGATGACCTTGTTTTGTGTATACACTTCTGAGCCCTTTAATGATCACAGTCAATTCTAAACTCCTTAGCCTGATACTCAAGGACACCTAGGACTGACCACATGATCTAGCCTGTCTCTTAGCATTTCTCCACCTGTTCTGTTTTCGGCATTATCACCTCTGCTTTCCATGTCTGTGTCCTCACTCATGCTCCACCCCAAATGGTACTTCTCAACTTACCTGTTAAAATATACTCGCTTTTTAAGAACATATTCAAACATCATCTTTGTCAAATTCCATTTCTTGCTTGCTGTCCCTTCACATTACATTTAAGTGATCTTGTGGCTTACTTCTCCAGGGGGCAGGACACTACGGTTGATACAGGCCAGAATGGAAGATGCTGGTCAGTACATCTGTGTTGTAAGGAATACGGCTGGTGAAGAAAGAAAAATCTTTGGACTTGCAGTATTAGGTATTTCTTTAATTTGCAATATCTAAATAAAAATATCCTTTGGTTCATCTACAATCTGGAAGCAGGATTAAAATTTAGTTGGAACTTGATCTCATAGCTCCTGTTCTTGGGCCCTGGACTGTGTATGACTCAGGCAAGAGTCCAGTGCTAGAATTGTTTGGAGGCAATTAGTCTAATTAAAATGGATTATTGGCATACTCATGTCAGTTTGCAACTTTTCAACAATATTCTCACATACTGAATGACTTTTTAATGTGAGATAATTAGAGTTATAGTAGAATAAATAAATTTCCTGCATTGTTTGCTGGTACATTTGTATCCAGACTATGATTTATATTACAATTAAATTGGATATAATTGGATTCATGACATAAGACTTTGTAATACATTTAAAAAATTATTTTAAATGTACTTGGTACAGAGTCTCACTGTGCAGGTCGGACTCAGTGATCTTTCTGTTTCAGCCTTCCCAGCGCTGGAATTACAGGCATTGCCACCAAGCCCAATCTCATTGGCCAGCTCAGCTTGCCTGGAGGTGGGGCCAGCAGGGCCTGTGGTGCTGGGAGTTGAACTTGCATTCTTGCCTAGGCAGGCTCTTAGACAGTAGAGCTATCTCCACAGCCCTATAATCCATTTTAAAATGAGAATTGATCAAAACAATATATTGCTATTCTAGTAATCAAACAATGAGTGACAATTTCGAGATTTATTTTGAAGCTGATGGTCATATATATATATATATATATATATATATATATCCAGGCTGTTAGATTTTTAACTTTTTTTTTTTTTAGAACCACCTCATATTGTGGGTGAAAATACACTGGAGGATGTGAAAGTGAAAGAGAAGCAGAGTGTTACACTGACTTGTGAAGTGACAGGTAAGGGGGTTGATTCTCATACTTATTTTCTTATTTTCCATTTTTTCCCAACTCACTGATAGTCCTTGCCTCTGCTGCACATCAGAGCTAGTTGAAATAAGATCAGGCTAATGCAACGGGCATTTGACACTGAATGCTAGTTTAGTATCGTTGGAGGTAGAAATGTAACCGGAAACCAGAATTCTTTCAGATTCTGTGGAGATACAAAGAAATTGTCTCAAGAAAGAGAAAACTAAAGAGAAGAAAGAGGAAAGGTGAACACTGGTATTTTCTTTCCGGTCAATAAAGCAGTTGTTGTCATTATTATTATTATTATTATTATTATCATTAGTTAGTCTGCTTCTACTTACACGTAGTGTCATTTCTGCCCCATCTCTTATCCTTCTATCTTTGCCTTCCTTTGGTTTCACTGTTCCTTTAAACTTCACTTCAGAGAAGTAAGTAGGAATCTTGGCAAAAGGACAGCAGATTATTTGACTGTTGGGGATTTTATCTCAGAACCAACTTCCCACCTTTTGTTAACATGCTTGCATATTAGCAAGAGAACAGAGACTGGGAAAAATTAAAATTCTAAAACCGGTTTCACTATCTTCAGCATCTAATTGACTTGCTGCATAGGATCAAAATAACTCTCTAAGAGAGTGCTGTCAGGCCTGCCTTTTTATTTAAGGGCCTTGCAGTTCCAAAGAGCAATCTGAGTAGCCCATAACACTATGGAGAGTCAGGGCTTTAATGAAAGCTTGATGAGTTTCTTCCTTCAGTGTTTAAATGCCTGTGTGGGCAATAAACTTAAGCAAGGAAACGTGTTTATTTAGAAAAAGACATAGATATTGTGCTGCTGCTAACTATTTTCTGTCTAGAAACGATGTAATTAGCAAGTGTTACACAGACACTATTTTTCTAAATATTATTTTTTTAAAAGAATAGTTCAAAATTTTTATTTTTTGTCTCTTTTTGCCAAGTCTTAGAGCATTCTCTGCTCACACTTCCTGGATTTAGCATACCATCCTAGCTTTCTTTTCCAATATGGCTTGTTTTTATGGTTTTAAAATTTTCTAAAATTAATGAATCAATTTTAAATTTGGTATTAAATATAATAAATATAGCTCTCCTTTTCAGGAAAAATTTTTAAAGGTTTGGCTATCTGGACTATAAATATTCAAAGGAGAATTAATGTATTTATAACATACTTGTATCTTTACGTACATATACTAGAATCTTGGTATAACTTAAATTTTCTGTCATTTGATTGAAGGTTTTTATTTCTGTAGCTTTTTCTTACAGAAGAGCCTTTTTAGGAAACACAAGATGAATAGGGAGGTATTCTTGAGTAATATTTTTAAATAAAAATGCTCTTTTTTGAAGTGCAGTCTATTATAAAAATGATCGTGAAATAAAAATATAAGTTTTAAGCACAGTGATCAATTTAGAACCATTGCAGCTATAGATAAAATCTAATCTACTTTTGAATATGACTTCTAATCTGCATGTAACTTTGCACAACATAATCATTATCGTAACCAAGACTGTTTGAAAATGTATTTTAGAATGAGTGGTTATTTATTGTTTTGGAAATAGGATGTATTAAAGAGAAAATGCTTGCATTCTGTGTTCACCATTTGGAGACAGGTCACTGTGAGGCACCTGGCAAAAATAGTGTTTATTTACAGGGAATCCAGTACCAGAAATCACATGGCACAAAGATGGACAGCTCCTCCAAGAAGATGAAGCCCATCACATTATGTCTGGTGGTCGTTTTCTTCAAATTACCAATGCTCAAGTGTTGCACACTGGCAGATATACCTGTTTGGCTTCTAACGCAGCTGGCGACAAGAGCAAGAGCTTCAGTCTTAATGTGTTTGGTAGGTCAAATTCTGCTTCAGAGCCTGAGGAAATAGATGTGGCTATCAGCTAATTTTTTTTCCTTTAGTAAGCATACTATGTCTATCATAGAATTTTACCACATAAGGAGCAACAATGTGGTGGTTCTTTATAGTTTTCCTAAATTAATTAATTCAGTCATTCATTAATTCATTAGCTGCTATGGAACACTTCACTATATTGCAGGTACAGTATACAAAGGGTAACTATGAACAAGATAGGTATTAAACATTCTGCAGTAAAAGAGAAAGCTACGCTGGTCAAAGAAAAGCAGGTAAACAGTGAATGCATGTCAACCTGAGATACTGCATCCTTTGTCACTTCCTGCCATTCTTGGAAATTATCCATATCGTAGTCTTTGTGGCCTAGGAGTAATGAAATAACTCTTATGTTTTGATACATTTTGTCCTGTAAAATCAAAGTAATGCTTATGTCTTGGGAATAACATTGGATTTTTTTCATGCTTGTTATATCCAATATAAAACATACCACTTAAATTTATTGTGTTTGGTGACTAATATCAAAATAATTCTACTGAAATCAATTGAGGGACTGGGGATTTGGCTCAGTGGTAGAATGCTTGCTTAACAAGCTGGAAGCCCTGGGTTCAGTCCTTGGCACCAAAAATAAAAAATAAACCTTCCCTAAAGAGCAATTCAACCAAAAAATACAGTAATATCAAAAAAGACCAAAAACAAACAAGGCAACTCTAAAATCAATTGACCTACACATTAGTTTGAAATTTTTTGTGATTGTGTTTGTTTGTTTTTGTACTTATTGATTATGCTATTTGGGAACACATCAATACTCAGGTTAGCAGGAATTTCTTAGAGAGAACATAGCCTCAAAAAGCTTGTGGTCTCATGAGTAAAAGAGATAAATGTGCAAGAAAAGTTAAATCAAAACACCAGATAATGCATAAGTGTCACATGAATAGTATATACAATTACTACATATTTTACAAAACTATAAATTCTCATGGGCAGAACCTCCTTTCTTTTATAAGAGATTGGCCCTAATATTCATGGCATCACAAAACTAAATGCATGGATAAATACTGAGATTTTATGAACCAGTTTATCTCCTTACACACCTGTGATCGCTGCACATTTAGTCAGTGTAGAAGAGACAGCTATCAGCCCTGGGTTACTTGTTCTCCCTTGTAGCCTGTCACTTCTCTTAGAACTTCTAGCCCTTCATGAGTTATTCAGTTATTACTGATTGATCTTGCAAAATTGACTTGTCTCCTAATTCTGTTATCTGTCCTCCCTGAAATCCTGCTTTAAAACTCTCTCAAGCTCCTTGCTACAATTGCAGTTTGACCCTTCCTGAGGATAGCAGCTTTCTTGAGAACTCCTATAGAGCCCACTTATCCTATATTTTAGGTACCTTGCATCAGGCCCCGTTACTGCAGCATTTTCCCTACAACCCCACCCCTGTCATCTCAGTTACTTTTCTCCCATTGCTGGGACAATTACCCAACACTCAGAATTAGTGAAGAAAAGGTTTGCTTAGCTCAAAGTTAGTGGAGGTTTCAGTCCATACTCAGCTGGCTCCAAGGCAGACTAGCACATGGCAGAAGGCAGCAGTTCATGGCAGTGGAATACAGCAAAACAGCAAGAGAAATGGGAGGAGGAGCTGCAACAAAGGCTACAGAGAGTAAGTCTGTCTCTCTTATGTTGCATTCATGCTATGTGCCCCAGGCTGGGTAAAGCACGCACACCCACAATCCTAGCAATACTCCAACCCATAATCCCAGGCTTGGATCATGAATTAATCACAAACTCTAGAAGTCTGCCCCATAACTGCTTGAGGCTTTGGGGGAACAGCTGGACACACCATAACATTCCACTTCTGGCCCCCAAAAGACTCTCGTATATCCCATGCAAAAGGCATGTTAGTCCATCTTTAAGAGTTGCCAAAGTTAAGTTTCAGCATTGCTGAAAAGTCCAAGTCCTAAATCTCCTCGGAGATCTAAGGCAAAGTCTTAGCTGTGAGCCCTTGTACAAATGAAAAGAAAGTTTAATACTTCCAATATTCAATGGCACAAGAAAAACATTACCATTCCAAAAGGTACAAACAATAAGATACAAAGCATTGAGACAAAAGCAAATCTAAAATCCAGCAGGGCGAGCATTAAGTTCTGTAGTTCCTTGTGGAACATCCAAAGCAATCTGTGACAAATTGTGAGCTCCATGTGGCTCCATCCTTATGGCACTTCTGGTGGTTGTAGGTCCCATGGCTTCTCTCTTAGGCTGGCTTTGCTCCTTTCTTGCAGTTTCCGTCAGGTAATCCATAATCCTGGCTTTTCCAAACTTCTGTGGTTTCCACTGCATGTTAAGCTTCTCTCTGCTTCACACAATGCCCTCTCAGGGGCACACTGCCTGGCCTCACAGGCCTTCTGAAATCGAGGTGGAAGCCTTCTTACCCTCAGAAGTCTTGCATTCTGCCTGCACACCTAAAACCAGTAACATGTGAATGATGCCAAGGTCTGTTGCCAGCTGGAGCAGTAGCCAGGCTTTTTTCTTCTCTCTCGGCTGTAGGGTTTGAGTACCTGGATTTCTGAGCACTCTGAACCTGATTCTGAAGAACAGATTCTCTGTGGCAATGCCATTCTGGAACCTGGTGTGGACACTGCCACCATTCTGGGATATGGGGCCCTACGGCTTTCCCCCAAGGCAAAGTCCCTTCCCCTTGCCATTCTGAGGCTGCAGAGGGCAGAGGCCTACCTCCTGTGATGCCCTAAGTCTATCTTTTTCATTCTCTTGTTCCTTCTCGGCAATGGAGATCCTCTCCGCTCTATCTTTGCAGGCCACAGCTTTCTTGGCACTTCCTTTCTGGCCAAACTCACAACATTTCAAATCATGCTGTCAGGCTCTCTGCTCATGATTCTCAACATATATCTGATCAAGAGCCTCCAACAATATCCATGCTATCTCTTCAACATTTGACTGCCTTGAAATTTCATTTGTAAGAATAAGCAGTCCATCATACTTAATCTCACTGTCAAGCAAAATCTCTGGATATGAGCAAAATGCAGACAAACTTTGTGCCAACCCAAAACACACATTGTCTGGAGTCCAACAACCAAAGCAGTCCTTCTTCCCAGAAGAAACCTCCCCAGCCTGGTCTTTACTGGCATGATTTCTATCAGCATCCTGGTGGTCTTCTGAGCTCTGACCAGAATCTCCCACACAGAACAGCCAAAGCTGTTGCGGTGCTCTCTTGTGGGCAACATCTCCAAAGCCTTCCTATCTCTTCCCATAAGCCATTCCCAAAGGCTTGTAATCCACATGGTCAGTTTCAGTCACAGAAATGACCTCACTTCTCTGGTACCAAACTCTGTCTCAGTTACTCTTCTCCCATTACTAATACAAATACCGACACCCAGAGTTAAGGAAGAAAAAGTTTTTTTGGCTCACAATTAGTGGAGGTTTCAGTCCCTACTCAGCTGGCTCCAAGGCAAACTAGCACATTGCAGAGGTTAGCAGTTTGTGGCAGTGGATTACAGCAAAACAGCAAGAGCCAATGGGAGAAGTAGCAGCAACAATCGCTACAGACAGAAAGTCTGTCTCCCTTATGTTGCATTCAGGCTGTGGAACCCCAGCCTGGATATAGCACTCACACCCATAATCCCAGCACTACTCAAACCCATAATTCCAGCCTTGGTTCAAGAATTAATCATAAACTCTAGAAGTCTGCCCCATAACTGCATAAGGCTTTGGGGGGGGGGCAGCTAGACACAAACCATAACACTTGTTCTTCTAATTCACTAAAGATTGAGGTATCTTAGTGGAAGCATCCTTTCCACCAGCTTGAAGAAACTGAGGCTATTCAATTGTTTGTTTGATACTTCCATTCTAACCAGCCATAAGCTTGGTGCTTCCCTCCTTTCTTTCTCCAGAAGGTGGGTTATCCCTCTTGTTCACAGTTACTGCTTGCACTTATGCCCTTGATTTTATCTTTTCTATTTTTTTAATATCACTTACTCCCTCTGATTGCTGTACTTGCAGTTTTACCTTCTTATTTTAACTACTTATGATCCATAAGAACAGATTATTTTCTCCATGATATTTCTGCCACTGTTCTGGCAACAACTACCCAATTGTTAAGCCCAACACATAATTTTCAATTCTGATATGTGAGTGATCTCTTTTACACTGCCAGTATTCTTGCCTAGTCATCTCTTGTACATCTTTGGTTGTGTCCTATATTTCTCCTTTGTGAATTTTCATTGGATCTCTCTCTCTGAAACACAGAAATTTCTAGGATTCTATCATTACGTCATGATTTTGGGTGCTGTAGATCTCTTAAACTACTTCAGTGAATTCCCGGATGTTTAACTATCAACTCTTTTAGATTGCTGACCTAAAATCCATAGCTAAATCCCACATCATTTTCAGAAGATACAATATGCCTGTATAGAATTGTTTGTTGGAATTTTTAACTGAAATATAGGACTTAAAACTAATGTATTCAAAATTTAATGAAACATCTTTCCCTCCCAAATGAGAAAAATCTTTCTAAATTTCTATTGTGTCACTTCACTGCATTTTAAGTCTCCATGCTGTTGTTCACTTCAGTTCCCTGTAGCTCTCAAATTCCATGATCAGATTCTGCCAGGCAAAGTCCTTAGTCAGTATTCAGCTGGTGCCTCTTCTTTATGTCCTCTTTCAATGGTTTGGTTCAGTGTCTCGTATCTTTAATAATCAAATATATCTCTTTGTTTCTACTATTACTCCTCTCAAATTTATCCTCTAAATGTTTCCTTCTTGTCCCCCATTGTTTACTAGTGCTGTGTTCCCAGTGTTTTCTTTTTATCTGCTAACAACCGCTAGTACTATGGGACTCGCTCCGAGATGCACCCTGAAGAAGCATCTCTAGAGAAAGCCCTCATACCTCCGCAACAGCCTGGGCCGAATGCTGAGCCTCCATTTGCCCTGGTAGTTCTTACTGCGTTATATTGTCCTCATTATAACTTTATGATGCGTCATTGTCCTCATTACCCTGAGAGCTTTTTTAGGGATCTCACTGCTTTTGCATAGACTAAGAACAAAATTTAGTTATTTCATCACTGTTAGAAAATAGAATTATGTAAGTAAGTACCATGGCAATTTAGAAATGCACCAAGAGAGAAATCTTTAAGTATTTTTCTTGAACCAAATTTTGTGTCTTTCCCAGTGTCTCCTACAATTGTTGGTGCCGGAAGTGACGGCAGCCCTGAAGACGTCATTGTTACCCTCAACAGCCCAACCTCTTTGGTCTGTGAAGCTTATTCCTACCCTCCAGCTACCATCACCTGGTTTAAGGATGGAGCCCCATTAGGATTGTCCCGAAATATTCGTATTCTTCCTGGTAATTAACATACTTCAGATGTCCAAGCTCTATCTGTGCCATCTACTGTTGTAGCAAAGCAGAATGGATTTTTTTTTTCTTTACAAAATTATCTGTGTTGGCTGTGCAATGTTTTATAGTTATTTAATTTCTGATTTTTATATGTATCTTTTAATCTAAAGGACCAAATATTTTTGAAAGAATTTAAAAATACCTAATGGAAAGGTTAAACAAATGCTGCAATATAATTAATTGCTGAAATACATTGTAATATGGAAGGACAACAGGTAGAAATTCATTTTGTAATGAATTGAGCCTGAAAAGAGTTATTATTTAGATTTTTATATATTCCATATATACATATATTATATAGATATAGATAAATCAAAAGAGTTAAAAAGTACATTCACCAGCTTTAAGAAATTTAGTCTTATTTGAGGAGAAATATGTGTAAAGAAGTGTATCACATGAATCTGTAAATAAACATGGATTATAAATAACAAGAAGTTTTGAAAAATAGGTTGGTAAGAATTTTTTTTCCATAATTTTATTGAGAAACAAATAGCAATGAGGCTGTTTCAAACCAAATTGGTAGGACAGTTTCAGTAATTAACACATTGCATACATTCTTCCTAGTGGTTATTTGCTGTACAAGATGCAGACATGCTATCCTATTTACAAACACCATTAGAACAAATCCCTCTATTCATTAAGAGAATGTAACTATATATCTACCCTAACCATTTTGAATACACAGATACAAAATGGACATTCATCTGTATCCCCTTTTTTGTTTAGTTCCGTTATTTGAATATTATAGGTGTGTTAACTCAGCAAAATATTCTAAAAGAGTCCAGTAGTCCATAATAGTATTGGGTCTTCTGCTTCACCGGCAATGGTAAGAATTTTTATAAGAATTCAAAAGAAGAAATTGTCACTATTGGTTAAAGTGGTCAGGAAAAGCTTTAATGCTTAGAGCATGAACCAGCCCATAGAGAAAGTTCCAGAATTCAGTTGAATGGCACTGTATTGCAAGATATTTTAGATCCATCTGGATAACTAAAAGGGGAAGAGGATAAAGTGAAAATGGCCTGCCTATATGCAGATAAGAAGACCTCTTCCCCACTATGTGGGTGGAGATACCTTATACTCTTGTATTGGGTGAGAGCGCAGAAGGAAAATTGGGGTAATGTGTTGAATGCTGCTTTAAAGAATATTTATTTGTACTTTAGGCTGTTGATAACCACTGAGAATTTTTAAGGAGGAAGAAAGTATAATCAAAACTTTGTGGCAGCTTGATTAATCTAACTCAGGCAGATGAGAGGAAAATGATGAGTAAGGCAAAAGCCTGTTTGTGAAGAGTGAATGGTGACCTAGCTAGAGTGCCTTTCAGAGGTGAGAGGGAGTCATTACCCCAGAGGAGCACTGGAGACTTAATAACGGTTCTCACTGACCATGTAGTACGTACCCAGATAGCTTCTGGTTTGTCCTATGTCAAATTTCTGCCACAGAATGATGTATAAGAAGAAATATGTTAGTATAAGAACTGAAATCCTAGTAGTTTGCACATACTCTTCCACTTTGATGTCAGAGCTTCTCAGATGTTTCATGGTCTTTTTAGGAGGCAGAACTCTGCAGATCCTCAATGCCCAGGAGGACAATGCTGGAAGATACTCGTGCGTAGCCACTAATGAGGCTGGAGAAATGATCAAGCATTACGAAGTGAAAGTCTACAGTAAGTTCTGAAAGAACACTGTGTTTTAGATCTTCCCTATTTTTTAAACTTTTGCAGTCCTGTTTTTCACTATGGTTCATAGTTATTTACACAGATCTTTAAAGACTTGTTTACTCAGTTTGCTTCCTTAAATTGAATTACGAATTGTGCCCACTTTAATTGCTTAAAGATGTGAAGAGCCCACTCAATCTGAACGCTATCCTCTTGTCAGAGACCATGTCAATGGCACTTTTAAAAACTTCTCATTTTTGTCTCTGACTTACTATCTTTGCCAAGCTAGTGTAGTTTTGAGAACAAAGCTGTTTCTTAAATGCATATGCCCTATTCTACTGCCCAAGATGAGATCATGAGTGATTTCAGGCCATTGCAATGTACAGTGAACTGTAAATAAAAGACAAATCTAATATGTCCATTAATAGGATACACATTCAAAGATTTTATTCCTCTTTTTATAAAAAATATTTTTCTGATTGTCCTATTATTTTCTTTGACTCAGCACCTTTAGAAATCAATAAAATGTGTATTTAGAACTCATACGTGGACTCTCTGTGGACCTGGAACAAACAAAACTAACTCTGTGTGGAAACTTCTGGCCATTGGCAGCTTTACACTGATGGGGGATAAAGCTGTTTCTCTTCACATTCTGCACTGAATAATGTTGTTCACAAAGGTCCTCACTTAGGTCTTTCATGAAGCTCACTACGAGCCAGGGTTTAACTCTTGAATATTTATTTTATGCAGTTCCACCCATAATCAATAAAGGGGACCTTTTGGGACCAGGTCTTTCCCCTAAGGAAGTGAAGATAAAAGTAAACAACACCCTGACTCTGGAGTGTGAAGCATATGCGATTCCATCTGCCTCCCTCAGCTGGTACAAGGATGGACAGGCCAGTCAACTGTTTTTACTTACTAATAGTTTCTTTTGGATTAATATGATTAATAGTTGGATTAATAGTTTCTTTTGGATTAATATGATCAATTAAAAAATAACGGGCAGTTACTCAGAAAATCATCATGACTTTAAAACTATCAAATTCTATGCTTCTAGATTCTAAAACTACTAAAAAAGAAAAAAACAAAAAACTCCCCAACTAACCCACCTTTGACAATTTTGGTATTGTTCTATCACTACAAAGTTTGTAGAATTATTTACTCAGAAATTGACTGTGAAAACCTGGCCAGTCCCCGCTGGAGACATTAGTGGAACATTGTTTTGGTTCTGTGGCTTTACAAAGGTAGTAAAGAAAAAATACTCACAAGGGCGCTAAACCAGATTAGAATAAAGAGTGTAAATCAAGTAATATAGTTATTCAGAATTTTCTCTCAACAGCTTTGAAGAAAGGTGATATTTTTATCATTACAAGTGAGAGAAAACAAGATAAGAAAAAAAAAAAGACAATGGAGAGTACAAAACAGTTACCTGGGGGCACTAGGAAACCTCAAACAAAAGGCAAAGCTGTTGACTCAGTGATCTGACTTTCAATTCACTCTGTTTTTTTTTCTCATTTAACTTAGGCTTTTCTATGTGTGTTTTAAAGACATAATGTTAGAGGACCTAAGGCCAAAATATATTTTTTATCTGTTATTAACACTAATTAATACAGATGTGAAATAGCTAAGCTATTGTTTTACCTGTTTTATGCATAATAAACTAAATGGCCAGTTAAATTCTAGTTGTAGAAATTTAGGTCATAGTCATGATTTAAGATGTATCAAAGAAAAAAAAGATGTAGCGAAGATATAGCTTTATTGTTACACATCCCAGATGTATTTTGCCATATTGGCAACTAAAAAAAAATCATTCCATATAAAATAAGCAATTTTCATCTGGAAGCCATGGCAAAAGGAAGAATATAGAATTCCCACCATGTTCTGTTTGCAGTTTTTCTGTCTACAAGCTTATTTCATGGTAAAATATCAATTCTATATAAATTTACTTGGAAATAAATATTTCCTTCCTCCTTTGAAATCCTGTATTTTATTTTTAAACATTCTCTCAAGTCTTTCTTTACTTGTAGTTACTACACATGCACAGTTACACACATACACAATACACACACACAAACATACACACACTCACACGATAGACTAGAATGGCAGTAAGAATAAGACATCTTTTTTAAAAATTCACTATAAATAAAATATTGTTTAAAATTCAAGCTCTGTAACTGATCAAATTATGATGCTTTAAAATGCTAAATTTTATGTTTTGGTATTGATTTTCTCGAATTCTACCACAAATACTTTTTATTTTCCATATGCTTCTATTTTTTTTTATATAGGCAGTGCTACTTTACTGAAACAATATTAAACACACACAGAGAGAAAATATTGGCAGTGTCAGCCATAATAGCTTTTGATAGTCTTTGAGTTTTATTCATTTATGCCCTGAAATTTTATTTTCATACAGAAAATGTAACCATGCTATTTTTATGCATGATGTACTATTAACAGTGATTTGTTGGGCTGGGGAGATGGCTCAGTAGGGTAAGTGCTTGCCTGGTAAGCACAAGGGCCTGAGTTCAATCCCCAGTTCTGCCAAAGCAAACAAACAAACAAACAAAAACTCAGTGATTTGTTGCATCCAAAGTATTACTGAGCACTTCTGTTTGCCAGGTATTATTTCAGGTGCAGCATATATAGCCATGAAAGAAATAGAGGGGTCTGGGGAGATGGCTTAGTGGAATAAGTTTTTCCCTGGCAAGCACAAGGGCCTGAGTTCAATCCCCAGTTCTGCAAAAAAAAAAAAAAAAAAAAAAACCCAAAGACGGTGAAGGAAAAAGACATAAGCTATCAGAGGGAAAATATTCCAAAGCAGAGGGTATAATGGAAGAAAAGGCCTCAAAGCATTTGGTCTGGATTGCAATAACCAATGGGAACACAGAGATAGGAGACAAAGAGGATGAGAGGGCCAGATCATGCTGCCTTGGAGAGCATGTTCCCTTACTTGGATGGAAGACGAGTTGTAAAATTCGTAGGAAAGATAAGACATACTTTAGCTTTCAGAGGGACTACCTTGACTCATACAGTTGAAGAAGAAATAGAGGGCCCAGCTCTGAAGTTGTTATGGTGATCAGAAAGAGAGACAGTGGTTTCTGGGACTAATGTGGAAGCAAGAGGTGAGATGTAAACAAGAGACGAACACAAGTGCTGCATGAGTTCATGAAGAGGATGTGGGTGGACAGAGAGAGACACAAAGATTAAGTTCTGCAGGACTCCTACATTTGGAAGGCAAAGAATAGAGCATAGGGTCTCAAAATATAAAGTATTTCAAAATAAAGATGAGTTAAAATGTGTCAAATACCAATGTCAAGGTAAAGTAAGCCCAGAGAATTGACCTATAGTAAATCTAGCAATGTAGATGTATTGGTGACCTTGAAAAAGACTTTGTTCAAATAGATGACTTGGGGGCTATAGCTCCCCTATCTGCTGGAGATAGCTCGGGGGTCTGAGCACCTGCCTGACAAGTACAAGCACCCAGGTTCGATCCCCAATACTGCGTGTGTGTCCATCCCAGAATTCTGCGCATGCTGTGCTGTCCACTGAAACTGGGCGTGGTGACACACACCGTAATCCCAGTGCTGGGGAAGCTGATACAGGAGGATCACTATGAGTCTAGGCTGCATAATGAGACCCTGTACCAAATAAATAAATAAAGTTTTAAAAAAATAAAAAACAAATTGATGACACAGTTGAATTAATTCATAGTCAAGAAAAAATGAGAGAATTTGTAAACAGCAAATATCAAATGCGTTTTAGTCATGTGATTATAAAGGGCTATAGAGAGTGTGGAGGTAAGCTGCAGTGAGAGAATTTTTTTTTAAAGATTGAAACTGTCCTACAGAAGGACGAAGTGGTGATAACATGAATGAGAAAGGATTAGCTGTTGGAGCGATGTCCTTTGAGTGGACCAGAGAAGAAGCAGAAGGGCAGAGACTGATTTTATCAGAGTTAAGGACTTAACCAGTGAGATCCAACAAAGGGAGGGGAGTCCAGGTTGCGAAGACTCATACAGGAAGTGGTGATCATGATAGGCATTGTATGCTGAAGGTGAGAATTCAGGTTGAGAGGTGAATAAAAAGCAGGAAAGACACTGCTTCTCAATGGAGTGTGAACCTCCCCATGGGGTCAAAATATCCTGCAGTTGGGATGCTTAAGACAATGCATTAAAAGGAGGAAGCAGACAGAGAAGGAAAACTGGAAACTGAGGTTGTGAAGGATGCATTTATTGGTAATTGCCACATCTATCCATGTTAGCTTCTCTTACATAGTAATTGAGAAAGAACAGAGGATGAGAAAATTAAAGGAGGGGGGTCAAGGAGCTGGAAGAGCATGGCTTTGGAAGACGTCCACGTGGACACTGAATCCAACAAGAATTAGGAGAAAAATAATATTAGAAGGAATGACCCAGCAGCTAACATCTTCAAGAATTGGGGGAAGTGCTAATTTCAACAAGACATCTTAACATAAGTATCTCTAACTTACACATTTTTTTAAGAGATTTATTTATTTATTTATTTATTTATTTACTTTGTGTGTGTGTGTGTGTGGCCAGCTCAGCCCTCCAGGGGGCAGGGCTGGCTGGCATGTGGTGCTGGGGGATTGAACCGCGGTCCCTGTGCCTTGCATAGCTTAGCTTGTTCTAAGTAGGTGCTTTAGACCACTGAGCCATCTCACCAGCCCCTCTAACTTACACATTTTTGCGTTTGAAGTAATGATGATTCTGAATGGATAATAGTTATAAATCAAATCAGATTGTACCAGTGGCTTCAGTTTTCATAAATTCTAGCAATTTTTTGTACAATTACAAATGATATTTTTTTTAGTACCAGATGATATTATTTGAAATAATTAACAAGGGTAAATGGATATGGTAGCTGAGAACATATTTTCCATTATAAAAGTATATAAACACATTATCTGCAAATCCCTGGCACAAATATAAATGATCAACTGCATGCTCTCTTAAAGGACATATTAAGCACTTAATGCTAATGTTATTATAATTGAATCACAGCCCCTGAAATCAGATGATCATTTTATTATTGCTGCAAATGGACACATACTTCAAATAAAAGAAGCTCAAATATCAGACACTGGACGATATACTTGTGTAGCATCTAACCTTGCAGGTGAAGACGAGTTGGATTTCGATGTGAATATTCAAGGTAATACTAATATATCTTATGCTATAAAATTTTACTGACATAGTCTATCAAAGTAATGGAAAAGAGATTACATCTGGATTATTTTTTAAAAGTTTTGGGCCAGCCAAATTGCTCAGAGGATATTTTTGGGCCGGGGGCTCAATCGCTGGGCCTGCTGGGCCAGCCCCGCCCCCCAGGGCATCCTGAGACAGCAACTGAGACTATGCGTGGTGGCACACACCTGTAATCCCAGCACTTGGGAGGCTGTAAACAGGAGAACCACCATGAGTCGATCTAGTAGTGAGACCCTGAACACCCTGTAGACCGTTCCCTAAAAATACAAAAAAAAAAAAAAGGAAGTTTTTTCTTTCTGTTGGTAATAATATAAATTCATTATTGAAATTTGGAATAAAAGAAATTGAGTAAGAAGGAAATAATCCCATCACTCAGGATTACTTCTGTTAGGTATTATATGCTTCTTTTTGACAGTCTTAAATATGTACTTAATTTATAAACCTGGGTCATCTAATACAGACTTCTCCATTACATCAGCATTCACCTGACATTGTATCATGAAGTTTTAAAAGTAGCATTTGTCTGGAATACAAAAAGTAGTAAAGAAAACAATTGAAAGCATTCAGATTTTGAATTGGATCATAATTATTTATGTTATAAGCTTTGTGACTGGATAGTTTCCTAAGTAGTTTAAACTTCTACATACTCACATTTAGAGTTAATACCTTATAGAATTGTACTATTAGCTTAAATAAAATATATAAGTTCTTACTAAAATAATTGACAAATAATACTTGCTATCATTGTTACCCTGATGATTATGAACTACTGAACATGAGTGTGTGTGTGTGTGTGTGTGTGTGTGTGTGTGTGTGTGTTGGGGATTAAACTCAGGGGATCATGCATACTAAGTGACTTGTCAATCACTGAACCAGACCTTCCACCCTCAATATGTTTTTTAATAGTCATGCCTGTTTCATCAGCTGAATATCCAAATATTTGCTTAACAAGACTTCTATTGTTTAATGTCTGGGTTGTTTCCAAGTTTTCATTATTCATAAATAATATACAGTGAACATCTGGACACACCAAATGTTTGCACGTCTTTGATTTTTTTTAAGTGGCTGAAAGTAGAAATCTTAGGTCAAATGTTGTGCATGTTTTTAATGCTTTTGATGTACAGGCAAATTAACTACATAAAACTTCATACTTGGTTCTAAAGAGTATGGGATTATCTTATTATTTTTCTTAGTGAAGTTTTCAATTCTGATTGCATAGGGGTTTTTTTGTATTTTTTTGTAAGATAAATCATTGAGAAATGTTCTCAAATGAACTGCTATTTTCAGTGGTCTTTAGAGATGTGATCCTCTTCCTCAGCCATTCTCTGTGCTGAGAATGTGCTTCTTTGTTATCTAAGTGCCAGAGCCATTCACAGGGAAACGAAAGGGCGAATATAGCCTTCTGGGGGCCACATGTCTTATTCTTCCACATAAGAACCAGCGTTGGCTTCTGTCTACTACTCTGGCCAAGAGTGCATGTTGGTAGATGCTTAAGTTCTTAAGAACATTTTCATGTTGTCTTACTTATTGTAGTTATAAATCGCTCTTGTGAAAGTACAGTCAAGATCTTTGGTTCGTGGTCTATCAGTGACATTCATGCTCGACCATGATGTGATGCTTTTCCTCCATAGTTCCTCCAAGTTTTCAGAAACTCTGGGAAATAGGAAACATGCTGGATGTGGGAAGAAGTGGTGAAGCCAAAGATGTGATCATCAACAACCCCATTTCTCTTTACTGTGAGACAAATGCTGCTCCTCCTCCCACACTGACATGGTACAAAGATGGCCAGCCTCTGACATCAAGTGACAAAGTAATGATTTTGCCAGGTAAAAATCACTGCAAACATGTGGAAATATGAATTTCTGTCAAGTGTATTTCTTCTCAAATATGATGAATTAAATTGCTTGGCCCTCTGGCCATGTAATTTAACTGGCATTGTGTTATGCCACTGGTGACCATGTAGTTTAAATCAAGAATGGACTAGCTTGGGAATTTAACACTAGGATGGCTCACTTTGGAAGAATTGTTGAGGACCAGCAAGATAGCTTAGCACGGGGCCAGCCTGATAGCTCAGTGGACTAAAGTGCCTGCTTTGGGCCAGCCAAATAGCTCAGCAGATTAAAGAGCCTGCAAGCAGGTACATAGGCTAGGGGTCCGATCTCTGGGCCTGCCATGCTGGCCCTGCCCCTGGCATGCACTGAGATGGCAATTGAGACTGAGCATGGTGGTGCACGCCTGTAATCCCAGCTCTTGGGAGGCTGTAAACAAGTGGATCAGTATGAGTCCAATCTAGTAGTGAAACACTAAACACCCTGTAGACCCTGTCCTAAAATACAAAAAATAAAAACAAAAATAAAGCACCTACTTTGGCAGAGCACATTACCTGGTTTAATCCCTGGTGTGCCATTCCTGCCCCATCCCTGGGGCATGCTGAGCCAGCGATTGAGACTGGGTGTGGTGGTGCATGCCTGTAATCCCAGCACTTGGGATGCTGAAAATAGGAGAATCACTATGAGTCTGATCTACGTAGTGAGATCCTGTAGACCTTGTAGACCTTGTCCTAAATACAGCGGGGTGAGGGGTGCATGGGAGATAGCTTAGCAGACTAAGCACCTGCTTGGGTGAGCACAGGGACTGGAGTTTGATCCTTGGCACCCATGCCATGCTGGCCCCGCTCCTGGGTGTGCTGAGCTGGCCATCAAGACCAGGCGAGGTGGTGCACGCCTTTTCAGCGCTGGGGAGGCTGAAGGCAGGAGGATCACTATGAGTCCAAGCTGTGTAGGGAGAAATGAGACCCTGTACCAAATATATAAAAAAAGAATTTTTCAGATCTAATACAAGATCTGTCAGTTTATGATAGTAGTTTTAGGAAATTCTTTTGGTTTCCTGGGGCCTGCTTTTCTCTATTAGTAGAAGGAGATTTTCAGTTTGTTTTCTCTACATTATTAAAATAAATAATATATACTTAGAGATCATTTCTACATAATAATAAATGATTTATGACAGGAAGATTATAATTGAAAATAAATGCCTATGGGACATTTAAATTGTGAAATAATATTTTTACAGCTTCAAATAAATTTTACTAAACATTCAAATCTAGAGATGGCCAAAACTCATCAAACTGTACAGTTAAGATCAGGACATTAAATGATTATGTAAACTCGGCCTACTTAGAATTAATTAAAGAACATCTTGAAAGAGTAATAAAAAATAAAAACATAAGTAGATATGGTAAATGTGACTGAATTGGATCTGAGTATGGGAAAATGACTATAAAAATGTATTACATGTACTAATAAAATTTGAGTATGGACTATGTTTTCAATAATAGCTTTGTATTAACCTTAAATTTCCTGCTTTTGACCCTTAAGTTGTGATTATATGAGGGATTCTCCTTATTCCTATACAATACTGATTTATGAATATTTTGGATTAAAGGAGATCAGAGTCTCCAACTAATTCTCAGATGCTTCAGAAAAATGTAATATACATATGATACAGAGAATGCAAAGGACATGAAATATAAACAGTAAACATAGGGGAAATATTTTGTGTAATTATTGCAACTTTCTGTGAGCTTGAAATATTAATATAAAATATTTTAAATGCACAGAACTGATCTTTAAAATTCTATATATAAGAGTATATTTCATACTTTTCAATTCCTTGATATGACTTTCTAAAATAAGTATTTATTATAAACAGTGTAAATGTCTATTAAAAATATTCAAAAATATCAAAATATGAAGTTTCAAATGAAATACAATGAAGGGCCCGGAACATTGTTTTGATCGCACCCGGGAAACCTACCTGAGCCACTCATTTCTCAGATCTCACCATATTGTGATATGAAATCACTTTTTAGCAATGCAATGTTATAAAAATGGGTAGAAATTAAAACTGAATGATTGGACTAAGTAGGAGCCCAGAAAGAAAATGTAGGGAAGTCATTAGATCCAAAAACTGTGTCTGTGTCCATGATCTGTGTTCGGCCTAAGATTTACAGAAGTAAACATAATGGGATATATTTTTAGGAGGGCGAGTGTTGCAGATTCCCCGGGCTAAAGTAGAAGATGCTGGCAGATACACATGTGTGGCCGTGAATGAGGCTGGAGAAGATTCCCTTCAGTATGACGTCCGTGTACTTTGTGAGTTTGTTTTCTTTCATTTATCATGCATTCCACCAGTCAAAAACATTTTTCTGAAACTAATGTTTGCAAGATGTTACCCTGAGCACGTTAGAGACTACAAAGATAATCAGAAACTGATAGTCCATCCAAAGAATTAATTCTTTTACATACAAATTGAGAACACATTGTCAGGACTTTTGAGATAACAAAATGGCTAAAACAGTGCACCCCACCCCCAATCCTGTACCAAAAAAAAGAGAAAATTCATTGACTCCAGAAGTTACAGTATTCCAACTAGTGGAACCTGGTTTGAATGCCCTCTTGAGTTAAGGCCATCTCCATCTGCATTTATGTGCAGGCATTAGAAATAGCATTGCTTCCTTAAGGGAAGAGACCTACGATGATAGTAGAAATAGATACCTGCATTGAGAAAGGCTGTCCTACAAAAGCAGTGTGAATACAGAAAAAGAGATCAGAATGAAAGATTTTATAGAATGAGTAATTAAGCGATATGAAAAATTAGTCACTTAGCTCAGTATGTAAAGGAATACTGATATTTTTATCCTGGGTGACTGAGAAACTGGTATCAACATGGACATAAGTAGAAGACCTAGAGAAATCAACATAATTAGGAAGACAAAAAAGAGAAACAATTGAAAAGGAAGATGAAACAAATTAAAGTATTAATTGCTTCTTTCCTTGGATCAGCAGAAATGCACAGTACAGTTGTCAAAACCATCCTATCCTGCTTACACACAGAAAAATCTCTTTCCCCCACTCCTCCTGTACTCCTCAACTAGTAACTCTTTCCTTCTGAGTAAGTTTTGTTTTAAAGGTGTTTAATTTGACATAGTTCTAGAAAACTTGGTAAAATGTTAAAAGAGAAGTTGGAGGTAAGCAATTCTGTATAAGACAAAGAATCTAAATCTATGTGAATATAGATTTTACAGTTATTTACAAATAGGTGGTAGTCAAAGCCAAGGTTTCCAACAAAATGATTCTTTGATAGCATATCAAAAGAAGATATATGAGGAATCATTTGTAATTAGAACAGAAAGGAAAGCAGAAGTAGGACTATCTAATAAGTTAATGAATGCCAGTAAACTACTGTATTCCAGAATCAAAGGCATAGAAATGTTACCAAGAAGTAGGTTTTAATATTGAATGTTCAGATGAGTTTAGGAAAGTAGAAACTAAAGATCTTTTCAGATGGTGTGGTGTGCTGCAAAGCCTAGAGTAAGGGAAGGGGGATACAAATTCAATACGTACTGAAATCAGACCCTCATGTATAAACATTATTTTGTCTCTTTAGTGTGAGAACCTGAAAGAGAAAAATGGAATCTGAAGGGTGAAGTAGACACTGGTAAAAGAGAATGAATTTATTCAAAAAGGAAGTTACTAGTTGAGGAGAAGGACAGGAGTGGGAGTAGGGGAAAAGATTTTTCTATGTATGTAAGCAGGATAGGATGGTTTAGACAACTGTATTGTGCATTTCTGCTGGTGTATGAAAGAAGCAGTTAATGCTTTAATTTGGTTTGTCTTCTTTTCCAATTGTTTCTCTTTTTGTCTTGTTAATTTATTATACTTTTTAAAATTTTTTATACATTTTTTTCTCTTTCTCATTTTTTTTTCTCTCTCTATATATATATATCTGGTAATTTGAATAACTGGTTGGAAGACAAAACTTTGTATTACAACAAACAATATGAAATTCATATTACTTTGTTAAATGAAAATCTGCGTCACTTATAATTTTTTGTTTTATTTCTAATTTGTATTCTCTTTTGAAAAGAAAAGTGAAGGAAATAAAAATAGAGAGCACTAAGACATTTTTGAAAACATAGAAAGATAGAATAGAATTTGAGAATCAACAACTGGTCAGGAAAAGAAACCTAATTTAAAAGATTTAAACTTGCTTATAGACCCAGGAAAATGACCTAATAGAAAGAGGTAAAGTTTTAAATGTGTGTTTAAGAAGTGAACAGCCCAGGAATAGAGAATGCAAGGTCCTAGAGCATGAAAAATATACAACCAAGGAATCAAGAGATGCTAATTAGCTTTTCATTGAGAACTAGAGAGATTTGAACTACTGCAAAGAGAAAAGTATTATGTTCTTTTCATTAAATATGAATGTAAGAGATAGTAGCAAAAGTGGTATTATTCTTGTGGCAAACAAAATCTGTTAAAAAAAAAAATCTGTTAACAATTGCCAATGTGGGGGATCTAGCAATGTGAAGTAGGACCCATTCAGCCCAGGTATTGTTTTTTACAGTCACCTAAAAGAAGTTTAAAAATATGATATGGCCCCCTGAGGGTGGAACAAAGATATCAGGGATGCATTGTGGAAGTGCTAGAGAGTGAGAGAGAGCATAAAATGTGCACTAGGACAGAGAATGCTGAAGTGATCAACTACTCTTAAGGTTTCAGCTTGGTGAGAGGAAAAAAAAAAATCCACCTGCAAGAACCTGATAGACTGATGGACTGTCAGCACAAGAAGTTTACAAAAGAAACTCAAAAAGAGAGAAAGAATACTAAAATTCCAGATTTATTTATTTGACCAATGTCTCGTGCTAGGCACAGGGAGGAGTTCTGAGGACACAACCGCAAATATAGTGGATCGCAGTTGTCGCAGTTACTCTTCTCTCGTTGCTGGGACAAATACCTGACACCCAAGATGAAGGAAGGAAAGGTTGATTCAGCTCACAGTTACTGGAGGTTGCAGTCCATACTAGAGTGGCTCCAAGGTAGAGAGAGAGGCACAGGGCAGAGGGCATCAGTTCATGGCAGTGGCAAAGAGCAAGAGGAGCCAAGGGAGGAGAAGCAGCAACGATGGCCAAAGAGAGGAAGTCTTTTCTCTTAAATTGTATTCAGGCTCTCTGCCCCAGGCTGAAGACACACACACACCAAAATCCCAGCAGTACTATGATCCATAATTCCAGCCTTGGATCATAATCCCAATGGATCATGAGTTGGTCACAAACTCTAGAATTCCCAGCCCCATGACTGTATGAGGCTTTGGCGGGACAACTAGACATAAACCATAACATCAGTGGAAACCACCTAACTGTGAATGTAAAGTGTCTGTATGGAAACAATACTGAAACTCGATTGTGTTCTTTGTGGCACTGATTGTTTTCTTTGTAGAATTTCAGTTTAATTATTGGAGCCCCAAATACCAGGAAACTGCATCTACATTAAACACGATTATTACTGATGGCTAAAGATATTTTAACAGAGTGAAACAAAAAATAGCCAAACTTTCAAAAGAAGAGATTATTTACTTTGAAAATTATTATCTACTTTTACCAAAGCAGCCAACATATGAGTTCCTTGTTTACTTAATATTTCCATTTTTAGAAGCTTCTGTGGGTAATGTGTGATTTTTTCATGTACCTGCATTCTATCGTATTAGTTTACACTAATAAGTATGTGCAAAAAAGTCTGGAGCTAGACTTCTCAAACTTCAGTCTGCTTAAAGATCACCTGGAGAGCTGGCTAGAATATTGACTTCTTGCTCCTTCCTAGAGATGCCTATTGAAGACTATGAGTTTGCATTTCTAACCCAGTTCCCAGGTGATGCTGACACTACTGATATTGAGGCTAGTAAACAACTTGAATAGTCCACATGAAACTCTTACAAATAAGACCAAATCTGAACATTTCCAATACACATTCAGAGCTTTAATTTATCTGGTGTGTCTTTATAACAAAATAGTCTTAAATATCAGCTTGTACAAATGTTTCTCCTACGTATGCATAACAACCCAGAAGGCACAGTAGAAGGCATTGAGAAAGGAACAAGATGTTTGGGAGAAGAGCTGGGATTGGACTAAGCTGGAATGATGCTATTGGAAGGAATAGTCCAGGGTAAATAAGAAACTAAAGATAATAAGCTCAAATTCAAGTACTTTTTTCACAACTCTAATTTAGTGTGAAATGTTACTTAAAGATCATAATTTCTCCTTCAAATCGAGCTTCTCTCTTACTATCACAAACTTTTTTAAACTGTTAAAAACTAGAATCATTTAGGAGCGCTCCTATAGCCCATCCATATTTCTTTGCTGCAATCATTTCATAGTGCCACCAGTTATCAAGGGAGCAAGTAGTGATCACCCAGAAGAGGTGACCGTGCTGGTGAATGAGAGTGTCCAGATGGATTGCTTCTCCAGTGGCAGCCCAGCACCAAGGAATTCCTGGCAAAGAGATGGAAAGCCCTTGCTGGAAGATGACCATCATAAATTTCTGTCTAGTAGCAGAATGCTACAGGTAAAAATGTGATTTTAAAAGTTTTAGGGGCCGGGGAGATGGCTCAGTGGAATAAGTGCTTCCCTGGCAAGTACAAGGGTCTAAGTTCAATCCCCAGTTCCACCAAAAAAAACAAAGTTTTTTTTAAATTTTATAATTGTGTCTTCGACTTTTAAAAAGTTGTTAGTTTGCATTATATTTATAAAAATTTCTAAGCATTAAAAGCATATAAAATAATTCTCCCTATTGTACTCTCACTAATAGTTTTGTATGAATTCTTCTAAAAATTGTTTTTACTTATACCCTTAAATTTAACATGATGTATGTAGACTCTGAGAAAAGCTACCTTTTAAAAAATCATTATGGCAATTTTATACATATATAATAACATTCTAAGTAGTGTAAGGTTTCCTATAGTTTAAAATTTATCCTGTATTACCAAACATTAATTATATACTGAGTTGTTTATCTGAGGACATGTCTATATTTTTCTATTTTAGTGTTATAAAAATTAGTGTTATAAAAATTATGTGTAGAAATAATATAAAATTTTAGATAGCATGCAATTTGATTAAATTACTAGCTGAATGTAATAAATGATGTTCTATGGTTAAAGAGTCCAAACAAAACTGTAAGTACTTCCCACACAGGACAGATGTCACAGTTCACTATACAGAATCAGGCTTGCTACCTACGGATAACCTTGAATTCTTAAAATATCACCTAAATTTCATCAATATTTCTACTTGTGGATCATAAAACCTCTACTGAGATGCTTTTTGTGTGTCTAGCACAAAAAGATATACAAATGAATGGATTGAAAATTCTGCATTAAAAATAAAGAAAACACCCTGCAATGTTAGCTAACTATTGCTGCCTACAACAAACCACTTAAAATTTTTAATGACTAAAGGGCCGGCGAAAGAGCTCAGTGGACTAAGTGCCTGCTTAAGCAAGTTGAGGGACCGGGGTTCGATCCCCAGCACCACATACTGTGCTGGCCTCTCCTGCAGATGCACTGCACTGGCCGCCAAAACCAGGCATGGTGACGCACAAGCCCAGCGCTGGGGCGGCTGAAAACAGGAGGATCACTACCAGTTTGAGCTGCACAGTGAGATCCTCTACTAGATACATTAAAAAAAAAAAAATCTTAATGACTGAAGTGCTAAACGTCTATTTTTTAGCTCATAAGTCTGTTGGCTGGCTGGGCCACACTTCTACTTTCAGCTGGGCAAGCTCAAGTGCCTGCATAGATTTGTGCACTGAATTCACAGCTCTGCTGATCTTGTCCGGACCCTCCCACGCATTTAGGACCTCAGATGTGATGAGGCTGGTTCAGCCGCACCTGAAGCCCACGGTCCAACCAGCCGGCCATGGCTTCCGCACATTAGCTGGTAGAGTTCCAAAGAAGTAAGCGGAAGGACACAGCCCCGGTGCTTGAACAGAGAGGTCCTCACTTGCTTCACATTCTGTTAGCCAAAGCCAGTCAAAAGCTCAACACAAACTCTGTGTCTTCTCCAACCCTGGGTGGGAAAGCTTCAGAGTCATGTGGCTGGAGGTGTAGACAAGACCCCAGGGGAGTAATTGCAGATATTTTACAGTCAGTATAATCACAAGAATATAAAATGTGCCTGTTCTGTTTGGAAATTATACGAATAAATGTTTATTTAATGAACCTGTCTAATAAAAGCCAACGTTGATAGTAGTATGCACAAAAATTCGATTTGTATTATATTTATCCATGATTATCTAGAAAAACATCTTCCTCTAAGTATAATGAAATGTACTATAAATTGCTTTATTAAAAATTTCTGTTATAATTTCTTTATTTTTCCCTTAGATTTTAGATGCTCAAATAACTGACATCGGCAGGTACGTGTGCATTGCTGAGAACACAGCTGGGAGCACCAAGAAGTATTTTAATCTCAATGTTCATGGTAAGAGCTCAGTTCCAGAAATGTCTAGTGGGATGTTCTTGAGAGAAGCAGGGAAACCATGTTTTAGATTATATAAGTTCATTTTCTGTTTTTAACTTGGTCAATATGCGGAGCCTGCATTTGTTTTGTCTCCCCTTTTCTGCCAATAATAGCTAGCAGGATGTACAAAGTATAAATCTAGCAGGTCTGCTTTTAAAATTATTGTACATAGTAATTTAAAAAATAACTACACTAGAGGATAGGGCTTCCAACTAATAATTGTGGGTGTGATCAGTCTGAAACAGCTACCTTTACTCTCTCGTGGTAAGTGCACGCCCCTCTCCTTTATACAGGAGAGAGAACGCATATGCCAGAAACTACCCCACTTCCTTGTCATCAAATCTCCCCACATCTGTTTCTGCCATTTTTCTTTTCTCCTATTACAAGAAAAGAGGAAGCTCTCTTTTATCTTCCAAATGCCAAAAATTAACCTGACTTTAGGTTTCTGCTTACAGTCTCCTTGAAAATTCACCATCTACACCTCCTTTTGTTTATTTATTTAGCACAGGGTCTCACTATGCAGCTTAGACTCCCTCCTGTCTCAGCCTCCCCAGTGCTGAGATTACAGGTGTGCACCACCACACCTGGTTTCAGTGTCCAACTTGGTATGGAGCCAGCATGGCATGTGGTACTGGGTGTCAAACCCATGTCTGTGTACTTGCTAGGCAGGTGCTTAGACTGCTGAAGTATCTGCCCAGCCCCTGCTCCTTCTTTTGAATATTGAAATTCTCACTGTTTACTGGATCCTTTTGGAAATTTAAAGGTACTTGTGTTTTCCACCTTTAAAAAGTTCTGCCTTACACCTAACATTTTCCTTCAGCTGTGTGCCTCCCTCTCATTTTCAAAGTGAAATCCCCTAGTGTGTGTGTGTGTGTGTGTGTGTGTGTGTGTGTGTGTGTGTATTAAATGGTTCCATCTCTTTACTCTCTTTACTCTCTTCTCATCACTGAGTTCCAAATCCTGCTTTCTCAACTCCACTGAATGTGCTCACAGAATTCATGAAATTATACCCTTATTAATAAGTCCAGTAGGCACTTTCCATCTTGTACTTTGTACATTTGACATTCTAAACCACTGTCGGGTGTGGTCAAATAATTAGCAGATTAATGTACCTGCAAGAAGGTGCAAGGATCAGGAGTTCAATCCCTGGGCTTGTCGTGCCGGCCCCACCCTTGGGGTGTGCTGAGGAGGCAATTGAGACGACATGGTGGTGGCGTACCTATAATCCCAGCTCTTGGGAGGCTGTAAACAGAAGGATTACTACTAGTTCAATCTAGTAGCGAGAACCTGAAAGCCCTATAAACTCTTCCCTAAAATACAAAAAATAAATACATGATGCCCAGAAACCTTATGCCATCTTATCTTTGTTTAGTCCTCTAATTCCTTGCCTTCTCGTGCCCATCTTCCTCTTTAACCTGTGGTTATAACTTTCAGAGGCCATGTTTATTTTTTCCATATTTCAGCTTTTGCATTGCTGAGCCTTGCCTATAAGACCTGTTCATTTTCTCTCTTCCACTTATTTTTGATCATATTTCAGTTATCTCCTTAATTGTCATGGTTTCCTCCTGATTCCCACATTATGTTCCCTCCCTATTGTCACTCTACTCATCTGATGAGCGCCCTTCTTATTTGTGATTATTGGGCAGTATTGACCAGTGGCTAAGAAGGAGAGCTCTGGAACCAGGCCTGCTTCTTCCAGGAACAACCTATAAAATATTAGTCAAGATTCTAACCAACCTCTCTGTGTTTCAGCTGCCTCATTTGTAGTAAGAGGATAAAAACTGTATGTAATACATGAAGCATGTGAGACTTCAACAAGATAGTATTTGCCAGGTGTTTAAAGCTGTAACTGGCAGCCAGGGAGATAGCTCAGCAGTCTAAGCACCTGCCTGGAAAGCTCAAGAACCTGGGCTCAATCCCTGGTACCACATGCTGTGTGTGTGTGTGGTGGTACACACCTATAATCCCTTCATTGATTTTTGGTTATGATCAATTAGCGATAGTATTATTCCAAAGGTTTTTGACTTGCCTTGGGAATCATTGATTTACATTTAAAGATAATGGATATGATTTATTGATAAATAATGTTAAAATTGAAATTTTACTCTATTATTTCTGTGACCACATAATAAAAATCTTTAAATAATAGTGTGATGTTAAGGATAATATTATTCAAGTGTACTTTGTGGAAAACACTATTAGGTCTTCTGTACAATGTACTCATCAATTTTCCCTTTTCTGGGATACAATACCCCCAATATCCACAATTTAAATAAAGAAACGTTTAATTTCATTTGTGGTAACAGAGAGATCAGTCCACGATTGGCTGGCTCTGGAGCTGAAAGGTGACAGTGGAAGGACATGGCCAAGCAAAGCTACTTAGTTCCTGTGATGAGGAAGCAGAGCAGGGGCCTAACATCGAAGAAGAATGGACCACATATAGCACTCACCTTCATTACTCACCCAGACACACCAAGAGATGTGGTTTATGGATAGACAAATAGCTCAGCATATTAAAGCTCCTGCAAGCAGGTGCAGGGGCCAGGGGTTCAATCCTTGGGCCTGCCATGCTGGCCCTGCCACAGGGGCACTGAGATGGCTCAATTGCACTGAGAGCCATATCTGGCATCCAGATATCTTGTCAAGATGTAAGTTCTAGTAGGCATGGGCAATCCCATCCTGATGACCTTGCTGATTGCAGCTCACATAGTCTCTCTCTTAGACCTGGTCCACTTGCTACCTGTAGCTTTTACCAGCATATCTGACATTTTAACCTCCTGAAGCCTCCCCTGCACCTCTAGTTCATTGCTACAACTTTGTGTACCCTCTTTTCACCATATTGCATGACTATTTGGGCCTTTTTTGAAAACTGAGTGGAAGCCTCAATGACACCATAACTCTTGTGCTATGCATAGCTCTACAACAGACAATGCCAAGGTCTGCCACTACTGTGAGAAGTGGCTCACAGAGGCTCTAGTGGACTCTCAGTGCCTGGATTGCTGATCACTGTGAAATGAATCCTGGAGACCCAATTCCCTAGGTGGTCCTTCTTGAGCAGAGAATTTATAGGCTCTCTTTCAAATGAAAGGTTTTATGCTTTTCTACTCTTGAACTTACAATAGATGGTGTCCCAATGATTCCTTTGATGCTTTCTACATCTCTCTCTTCCCACAGCAGTTCAAAGTACTTCCTGTCTCTTTAACAATCCTAATCTCTTCAGCATCCATGCCTCTTTCAGGCTAACTTTCCACATGGTTCTCCTAAGGACACCATTTAAATTCTTTGAATCCTTCTGTTCTGCTCTACCAATCCTCACCATGAATTTCGCGAAAAGCAACCAACAGTACCAATGCCAAAGTCTGAAATTGGGGTTGCTTTGACATTTTCTCTTCCAAATTAATTCATTCCATGCTCCTAAATTCCACCTTCCACAGAGTCTCAGGAAATGGGCAAAATGTAGATAGTTTTTTTTGTGAGAATGCAACACACATGGCCTTCAGTTCAGTTTCCAAGACAGCTGCCATCTAAAACCTCATGAGCATGACCCTTACTGCATACATTCCTATGGGCAGTCCAGTCTACTGAACTTGACTAGAAATGCCCATCAAGCTCTGCTTATAACATTCTAGAGTTCTCTAGCACACATTTCCAAAACTTTCCTATTACCTTTTTCAAACTACTTCCAGAGACTTCTGAGCCACATGATTATGTTATTCACAACAACAACAACCCCACCTCTCCAGCACCAATTTCCTGTATTGCTCAGCTTTTCCACTACTGGGATATAGTCCTTGATACCCACAACCTACAGGAGGAGAAGTTTAGACCAGGTATAGTACTCAAAGTCATGATCCACACAGACATGAAAATGTGTGCTTTCCTGACCTCTTGGTGCTCTCCCAAGCTTTGAAGTTGACAAACCAGCTGAACTGACAAAAACATTGTAAGATGGTGATCTGTATATTTTACAAATAAAACAGAGAATAATGCTGATTTTTAAAATTCTCATACTCCCAGTTGTGAAAAACAAACATGGGGAACACAAATTGGATGAAGGTATTGGAAAATGTCTAAGGAAGCTGCATAGCTAACAGAATCATTCATTTGTTGTTTTTTATCAGCTTATACTGGGTAGAACTACATTTAGTGAACTGGAAACTATATCTCTGACAACATCATTTTTCACTTCTAATGTACATACTTTTACAGTTCCTCCAAGTGTAATTGGTCCTAATCCTGAAAATCTCACGGTTGTTGTAAACAATTTCATCTCTTTGACCTGTGAGGTCTCTGGTTTTCCACCTCCTGATCTCAGCTGGCTCAAGAATGAACAACCCATCAAGCCAAACACAAATGCCCTCATTGTGCCTGGTAAGGGGCTTATTCTTATAAAGCAGGCCAAACATTCTCGCTCTCCTTTACTTTAAGATAGACAGTATTACAATTTAGTCTCTTTCCAAACTTTTGCCTCTCTGTTTGTTCACAATAAATATTTCTTTACTGAGCTGGGAACATTAGAGTAATTGGATAGATTTTTATGGTTGATTTTAGTGTAAATGTTCAACAAGGTATCTTGCTTCAAATGGTGAAATTTAGAAACAGAACAGTTTAACAGTTGTGAGTTAAGTCGGTGTTAAGTGGTGCTTTCATTGTATAAGTTTACTTAATTTTTAATGAACCCCAGTAATTCAAGATGCAAATGATAGATGATAGATAGATAGATAGATAGATAGATAGATAGATAGATAGATAGATAAATAGATAATGATAACAGAAAAATTGCAAAGAAGTAGGTAGTTGGATAGATCATAAAAGCTAGAAAGATCATAAAACTACAGAGAAATAATCATTTCTTCTGTGGAAAATTTAAATGCAGGAAATTCTTATAAACATCTTAGTTGTATTACAATACTTATTTGTCAGGAAAATCCACATCAAATACTTTAACTATCCATCTTACTTTTTAGAGAGAAAAAGTTCTGATTAACTTCCTTTATAAGAAAAAAAAATTGATTCAATTATTTCATTTTAAATACAGATGTTTCTATATAAATTTTGCTGCGTGGAAAATTACATATTTTTTTCATTTATTTTAATGATAAGTTAGTTATTATGGTTACTATTTTCTGACTTTACATTATTTTTGCTCACAGGTGGTCGAACTTTACAGATTATTCGAGCCAAGGTATCTGATGGTGGTGAATACACTTGTATAGCTATCAACCAAGCTGGTGAAAGGAGGAAAAAAGTTTCCCTGACTGTTTATGGTTTGTTTTCACTCTCTTTGTGATATTATTTCATTTCAAAACTGGTGCTCAGTATTTTGGTCAGTGGAACTTAATCAAACAATTTTTTGTTTTGTTTTGTTTTCTATTTCCTTCTCTCAGTGCCCCCAAGCATTAAGGATCATGACAGTGAGTCTGTCTCTGTAGTTAATGTAAGACAGGGAACTTCAGTGTCATTGGAATGTGAGTCAAATGCTGTCCCACCTCCAGTCATCACCTGGTATAAGAATGGGCGGATGATATCAGAGTCTACTCATGTGGAGATTTTAGCTGATGGACAAATGCTACACATCAAGAAAGCTGAGGTGCATCTTTCATTCTTGCTTGACATTGAAACTTTGGTGGGGTTGCAGAGGAGAGAGCAGGATGTCGCATACCACTTTTACTACACTGAAAAATGATGTTTGTTAAAGAATACATAGGCAATGGCATTGACCTTCTTTTCATTAAAAGATGAAGTGGCAGGATTGCAGAAGGCAATTAGAAGTGGGACATTTGAACATAAAGATGACTGATGATTTAATCTACACTCAAACAGTGTGATTGGTCATCTATAACTTAATGGAGCACATACAATAGTATCTTTTTCTTTTAGGTATCTGACACAGGCCAGTATGTATGTAGAGCTATAAATGTAGCAGGACGAGATGATAAAAATTTCCACCTCAATGTATATGGTGAGCATCTGCCTCTAATACAACTCTTTTTCCCCCAGATATGCAAATGAAAGCAAGTGTCCTGAATTAAATTAATGAGGACACGTGCTTTTCTTCTGTCTTTACAGTGCTGCCCAGTATTGAAGGGCCTGAAGGAGAAGTGGTTGTGGAGACAATCAGTAATCCAGTGACCCTGACATGTGACGCCACTGGCATCCCACCTCCCATGATAACATGGTTGAAGAACCACAAGCCCATAGGTAATAGAGCTTCATGTTTTTTGTGGCTTTCTTTTGTTCTTAACTCACTATTTCTAAAACATAGGAAATTGTCAGTATTATGCTTATAGCTGAGCCTAGTTCAAGAAAATCTATTGTACGGAAATATAAATTTATAAAATAGACTTGCTGTGAAATGGTTATTCATTCTATAAAGGTTAAATTTCTCTTTGAAAAAGATTGTCATTTAAAATCAAAGTAGAAGGAGAAAACTTTAAAGAAATGTAATATAAAATAAAACTTTATCCTGGATTATAGGGATGTTCAATAAAAGTTTCTTCATATTTTTCTTTGTCTCCCCCTACAGAAAATTCTGACTCACTTGAGGTTCACATTTTGTCTGGGGGTAGCAAACTCCAGATTGCCAGATCTCAGCGTTCAGATGGTGGAAACTATACATGCATTGCATCAAATATAGAGGGGAAAGCACAGAAAAACTACATGCTTTTCATACAAGGTAGGTCATACACGTGATGATCCACCCTTAATTACTTCGTTATATTCCATCTGTAGTACTATACTTTTTGGGATCACTCTAATTGACTCAAAATAACTTTAAATCACCCATAATTCTGTCATCTGGTTTTTCCTGCATTCTGTTTCTGAGAGAATTAACATAATTGTAGAAAAGAATAGATGAATACATCTTTAGTTTTTGATTATTATTTTCTTCTGTATTTTAGGGAAGGGTCTTCAGGGTGTTCAGGGTCTCCCTACTAGATCAGACTCATAGTGATTCTCCTGTTTACAGCCTCCCAAGAGCTGGGATTAGAGGCGTGTGCCACCACTTCCAGTCTCAACTCTGTCTCAGCGGGCCCCAGGGACGGGGCCAGCACAGCAGGCCCAGGAATTGAACTCCTGGCCCCTGCACCTGCTTGCAGGCACTTTAATCTGCTGAGCTATTTAGCTGGCCCTAGTTTTTTATTATTAACTTCATCTAATATATTGTATTGAGTTATCTTTATTTATTAAAAACTAACTAGGTTTATTTTGATGTTATACCTGTAAGTTGATCTTGTGTAGGCAAATATTTAATTTATGAAGTTTTACTATTATCTAATGACTGACAGGAAAATATGTAAACTTCAAATAAGTATGAATGGTATACAATTTTGCGATGAGAATAAAGAGCATTAATTCCTTGAATAACTGTTTAATTTTTGCCTACTGTATTGCAACATATCATTAATTATAGCAGAGTGAATGTATTTGTTTTGATTTTAAATAAACTTCTGAGTATGACTTTTGGATCAATATTAAAATTGAGGTGAAACTAACTGGCAACTGAATTAAAATAGCTTTTTTTTCTAATCTTATTATGGCTACTAGGTAAAGAACTTCTCCTAAATTATGCATTTAACTGTGACTGTTACATCTATTGTGTCCTTTGCTAAAGCTACTCCAAAAGTAATTAAAATTAAAGAAAAGTAAAAATAAGTTAATGAGCATCTGTGGCCTCTTTATAATGATGGATGATGCTTGAAATTTCAGATGCATAAAGGAAACATAGTCATTCAATGTCATAAAATGCACATTTAGCTCTTTTTAGTGTATTAATAATAGATATTAGCCATATGGTACGTCGCATGACCAAGCACTTTGTCAGACTTTCTCTGTGTCTTAAGACTTGAGATCATGTATGCATATAAGATCTGTTCTGGTGCTCTTCATACTCATATATTAATATTGTTTGTTGGAAGTAACCGTAAAGTTCTTACTGACTTGACTTCTTCAGTATTATGAATTCTCCACACTTACTATAGTTATTGTCATGTGGATAACTAAAGTGATAACTTGTTCTCATTAATGTGAGAACCTAAAAGAGAAAAATGATATTTCAAGGGTACAAGAGATATTGGGAAAAGGGAATGAACTTATTCAAAAGGAAAGAGTTACTGGGTTGAGAAGGGAAAACAGACTTATCTATATATGTAAGCAGGATGGTTTGGACAACTGTGCTGTGCATTTCTGCTGGTGTATGGATAGAAGCAGTTAATGCTTTAATTTTCATCTTCTTTTTTCAACTGTTCCTCTTTTTGTCTTCTTAATTTCTCATACATTTCTTTTTTTTCCTTTCTTCTTCCAATTTTACATGTATATATCTGATGACATGAATAACTAGTTGGAAGACAACACTATGTATGACAACAATTACTGTGAAATTCATATTACTTTGTTAAGTGAAATTCTTTATCACTAGTAATTTTTCTGTTTTAATTCTAATTTGTACTCTTCTTTAAAAAATAAAAAATAACTCATGCAATGGATACATAACCAAAACAAACATGAAATATATAAAAAATAAAATGATACTTGAAATAATTATGTGCTTGTGTGCTGGTCCAAAGTATCCTGATTTGTAGCAAATCACTTTCCAGTTTCTTGGTATAGCTATACCACCACAGCCTATTTCCAACTACAAACCTTTATATTACTGAACACAGAATAAGGAATATTTGCAAAAGTGGCTCGTGTGAGCTCATGAAGGCTGCCACCAGTGCATCTTTTTAAAAGAATAGAAGTTCAATGTGTTTTTGTCTGATACCATTGATCTCTTTTTTATTTATCATTTCTGGACTACATCATTAAAGTACAAACCAAAAATGACTCACTTAAAGAGAACAGAGGCTCCTGGATCATGAAAATTATGATATGCCTTGTTAAACAAGTTAATGAAGAGTCCTCAGATACTTTCCTCAGAGCTTTATGCCAATATTTTATAAAATAGATTCTCCTGAATTATATTAATTACAAACTACCTGTAGGAATCTAATCTAATCATTTTTAATTAATCTCTTATTTATTTGTTACAGGGTCTCAGTACACAGTTCAGAGTCATAGTGATCCTCCTGTCTCAACCTCCCCAGCACTGGGATTACAAGGGTGTGCTCAGTCTCAGTGGCTGACTCTGGGCATGGCTGTCATTGCATGTGATACTGGGGATGGAACCCCGGTTCTTGCACCTGCTAGGCAAGCACTTAGACCACTAATCTATCTCCCTGGCCCTAATCTAATCATTATTTAATTTAAGAATGAATTAATTTGGACAGAAAGGATACCCATACAGCAGACTATCACTGGCCCTTTGGAGTAAGTGATCATATGAATTTGTAGGCATACCAAGAATATAGGAGTGATCTGATTCCTTTATCATGCTCATTGAAAAGTGATTCATAAAGATAGCAATAGTTTGATCTTAATCTAGGGAAACTATGATTCGGAAATGGCGTGTTCTATGGCTGTATTGTATTCCTTAGAATATATATATCCTTGTTAATGAAACTGGTAACTGTACCTCCATAGTTCCTCCAAGTATTGCTGGTGCTGAAATTCCAAGTGATGTCGGTGTCCTTCTGGGAGAAATTGTTGAGCTGATCTGCAATGCCAATGGCGTTCCTGCCCCAGTCATTCAGTGGCTTAGAAATGGGAAGTCTATAACTAATAGTGAAACAGAAAACCTCCGGTATGTTTAAGATAAATCTTCCATTATAATAATCTTAGATATGACTTTATAATCTGAAACCATCAACCTTCCTATGTGGCATGTCTCCTGGCTCACTTTTAGTGAGGTACAATATCATAGCCAAGTTACTTCCTTAGAGTAGATTGTCCAAGTCCCACTTTCAGCTGACATTTTTTACTCTTGGCACAAAAAGATGGATAAATAATATGGCAAGAGCCCATGCCACTTGATACTTGAACAACAAATTCCTTTGGAGTGACAGCCCCGTGTTCTGCACTGTATAGGATTACTCCATCATAAAGCCCCACAACACAAACATACCAGAATAAATATCTGAGTAGGTAGGCATCAGATAAATGCATCACAAATTTTATTATTTTGAACCACCATTTTTGTTCTAAGAGTCAGGAGCATGTTTTGTAGTCTATAAGTTGAACACATGCAATTTCAAGTCACCCAAGTATTATTTTCTTTGTATTCACGTTAAAATTTAACTGTTTGTATTCTGTAAAAAAAATGCAGTAAAATTGCGAAATAATATTTTAGAGATACATGATGCATTTTATTTTTAAGGAAACATTTCTGAATAATTAACATGTAATTATTTTTATTAGACCAAGTACAAGAAACTTTGTGGGATCTAAATAACTTACATAATAATTGTACCTTGGCTCTAAAGGTCTATCACTTCTCTTACATGAATATACTAAGCTTGCTTATTTTTATATGCATTTTGCTTACTAGTCCATTACATATTAATTTGTAGGTAGAACAATTTGTAGATCAAATAGAATAATTTTTAAGATCACTTTAATATTTGGCTTTGGCTATGGTAATTTGTGTTTCTACTTGAGTATATTTAAACATATGAATTTTTAAATTTCACATTTTGTAAAGGAGAAGTACAACTAAGTCCAAAAATGATATTATAATTTGCAATATCAGTATCAAATGTAATGCACTGTTTTTATACTGGGAGATTCTAATGAAAGCATTACTTTGGAATAACTATCAATAGGAATTTATTCTTCTCTTAAAGCATAGGGAGTTGTTTGGTAATTAGCAAAGAAAAAATCAATAATGCAACAATCTTAACTTAGATATCTTTGATTAAGTAATGATGAATTTATTATTTACTATTATTCAATTCAAAATAAAATTTTAGAGTTTTGTAGAAAAAATTTTAAGGTGCATCTATATATTGTGTTGACATGTCACAATTTAAATAAATTAACCCATTCTGTTCCATCTCACTGAGTTGTTTTTCATTCATTTATGGTCAGATTTTTAAATATAATTTCTTGTTTCTAATTTTTTTAACAATGTTCAATTTCCATACTAGAATTTTAAAATAATTTTTATCTGCTTCAAATCTCAGAATGATAATTAAAAATAGAAGAATTCAGAAGATTTATTGGGATAGCACAGTTCTCGGCCTGACTCTATATTTTTTCTCCTAAGGGAATGATGGATGTAACAACTATTAGGGTATAATTTTAGTTATTTGTCTGTAACCTCCATCAGGTTTCTAGCACTTCCATATACTTAATGAGATATATTCAAACCATTGTATCCAAGAAGAAGACATCATGTTATGATGATATTTTTTAAAGAACAAAATAATCTAAAATGAGTCACCTAGACCCAAGTCCCTGTTCATCATCTCAGTGGCTCTCTTATGACCTTTTCCATAGGGTGACTGCAAATGGCAGCACATTAAACATTTATGGAGCTCAAACATCGGACATGGGAAAATACACATGTGTGGCCACTAACCCTGCTGGAGAAGACGACCGAATATTTAACTTGAATGTCTATGGTAAATATGAAATATGTCCAGTTTTGGCTGCCTTAAGAATTGAATAATAGGAAGCAAGTTTCTAAAAGCTAAAGCCATTGCTATTTCCATTTGAGAAACAAATCACTATGGTAGGCAGCTGAAATACTTTGAATCAATAATCTCTCTCTGTCTCTCTCTGTCTCTCTCTGTCTCTCTCTGTCT